CGCGGCCGGCCCCGGCGTTCCCGGGTCGGCTTCGGGCTCGGGGCTGCAGGGCGGCGATTGCAGCGGGCAGCGGGCGCCTGAGTCATGGACTTCCCCTGGCCCCTCCTCCACCACTCCCACTCCCGCGCCGGGCCCCCCCGCAGGGGCTAGCGTTCGCGCCGCGGCTCCAAGGGGGTGGGGCTGCTGGGAATGGCTGTGCCCCCTTCGGCTCCTCTGCCGTGCTCGCCCTTTTACCTGAGGACCCAGGCGCCGTGCCCGCAGTGCTCATGGGGCATGGAGGAGAAGGCGGTGGCCAGTGCGGGCTGCCGGGAACCGCCGGGCCCCCCGAGGGCCGCCGCCGTCCCGTGCTTCGGCATTTCGGTAGACCAGGACGACATCCTCCCGGGCGCCCTGCGCCTCATCCAGGAGCTGCGGCCGCATTGGCAGCCCGAGCAAGTTCGGACCAAGGTAGCCGAGCGGGCGCGGGCCCGGGAGCGGGCCCTGCCGGGGCTGGAACGGGGTGCGTGGCCGTCTGTCGGTGCATCCTTCCGGGTGTCGGTCCCCGGGGTGCGCGGCTGCAGCGCAGGAGGGGTGGGATGATGGTTGGCGTGTGCTTCTTTCGCCTTCTGTGTGGCCCCTGAGCCAAGCCGGCTGCCCACCGCCCTCGGCCCTCCACACCCCCCCTTCTCTTGGGGTTCTGGGGTACACCGAAGGTCCACCTGCCTGCTGTCAGCAAGCCGCGTGTGCGGGCCCCACCCCCTGTCACTGCGTGTTGGTGCCCCTCTTGCCCAGAAGCGCCTACCCGGCTGGCCCTGAGACCTGAGGAGGCAGGAACTTTTCAGGAAACCCCCACACTTAGACACACGTTGCTGCCACCCGTGGTGGGGGCCAGCTCCAGGCTCTGAGACGGGCCTGGAGCCACCCTGTGGAATGCTGGCTGGCCCCCACCCACCTCGCTGGGGGGAAGCCCTCACTCTCCATGCAGCCTTAGGCTGGGCACCCCCCTTCCCCCTCACACACACACACACACACACACACACACACACACACACACAACCTGGGCACCTCCCACTGGCAGCTGGGCACAATCTCAGGGTCACAGATGGGAGCAGAACCTCCCACTGAGGACCCTCAGCTGATCTGCATCCTCTGCAAAGAGGCTTCACCTGCCCACCCACCTTGTCCACTGGGAGCTGCCTGTGGAGAATGGTGCCTGCAGCTTGTGCTGGAGTGGTAGGGCCACCATGCTGATGGGCCTTCTGCTGGGGAAAAACTCAGGGCCAGGTGTGGAGCCTGGCTATCCCGCTGGTGGGAGGGCGGGGGTAGTAGCATTTTCAAAATGAAAGAATCTGTTTGGTATAAGGCTCTCAAGGGATCCCCAAACCGTCGGTTAATTCCAGCACTGACAAGGCACGCTATCTGCCAGTCCCTCTGCCTCAGTTTCCCCCCCAGCAGTGCCCCAGGAGTCCTCCAAGTCCCCTTCCAGCTCTCACACTGTGCCTGATGGTTCATGCCTCCTTGTCCCAGCCCGGTGTGCCACCCAGAGGCCTGAAGAGCTCTGGCCGCTAAAGCCCTGGGGTGGTGCCAACCTCGTGCCCTCCTGTACTTCTGCCACTGGTTGGGGTGAGGACAAAGTCTCCTTCCTGGCAAGGGGCGAGAGGCAGTGGTCCTGGGTAAACTCCAGCCCTCCCTACCACATTCCGGGTCCTTGGAGGTCTTTCAGGTCCCAGGGAGGAGGGGGTTTCTACCCACCCTGGAGTGTGGAAACTCCTCCCTGCCAAGCCCCGTTCACTAGGGGCAGACCCAGCTGCCATGTTCCCCTGGAACTCTCCAGACTACCCCAAGCTTCGGGAACAGGGTATAGAGCATTAGGACAGAGGGCTACGAGTCGAGCGGTTTTGTGTGGTCACAGCCTTGAAATGAGCGGCCTGTGTGGAGCTGGGGAGCCCTGGGGCCAGAGCAGAGACTTGCCCCACACACTCTGGCACTGTCCTCTCCCCATGCCAGCGCTTCACTGATGGCATCACAAACAAGCTGGTGGCCTGCTATGTGGACGAAGACATGCAGGACTGCGTGCTGGTCCGGGTGTACGGAGAGCGGACAGAGCTGCTGGTGGATCGCGAGAACGAGGTCAGGAACTTCCAGCTGCTGCGTGCGCACGGCTGTGCCCCCAAGCTCTACTGCACCTTCCAGAACGGGCTGTGCTATGAGTACATGAGGGGCATGGCCCTGGGGCCTGAGCACATCCGGGAGCCCCGGCTCTTCAGGTGAGAGGGCTGATGGGGTGGGGGGTGCTTATCGCCCTAATTCCTCAGGCTCTGGGCTGTGAAGTCCTTGGGCAGCTTCCTAAGCCCTGAGATCGGCAGACTGTCATTGCACGAAATGCGTGCGTGCAGGCGTGCGTGTGTTACTCTGGACTATAGCTTTCTATCGACGCTCAGTGGGGTCTGCAGAAGGGCGTGTTCTCGGGGAACATGTGTTTTGCTGAGCGTCAGACACCCGGTTCCCTAACCGCAGCAGAGGTCTGCTTCCTGACCCTGACCCATGCCTCACCCCAAGTCTGGCCTGGAAATATCTCTGAGTCTTGGAAATGAAATGGGAGCCAAATCCCCAGAGCACTCAGTGTTTCCTGCTCTCCCCTTTGGCTGCCAGGAGCTCAGGTATGCCAGGAAGACATCCCATCCTGGGTGGGCATGGCTGTGCCAGCCCAGAGAGACCCTTCCCTCCCCCCTAGTCTGAGCTCCATCCGGGTTCCCTGACATGGTGGGCTTCCTTCCAAGGCTTGAGACCATGGCCCTCTGGGAGGCCCTTCCATTAAATGCTTAGATGTGGAGGACTTAGGTAGACCCCAGACAACACTTCAGGCTCTGCTGTGGGGCCTGGGAGGGGGAAGCAGAGACAGGCCCCCGGCACATTTTCTCTTCTGACTGTGCTGGGGGGGAGGAGAGGATCTTCCTTCCTCCCACAACCACCCCCCCCCCCAAATAGGGCATCCACACTAGGACACACCCCGCAGGCTGAGGTTTACATGAGTTAGGCAGTTAGAACAGGATCTGTTCTGTCCCAAAGGGGAGGACTCTTCCAAGTAACTCAGGAGACTTAAAACCCTCCTAGGGAGTAGACCAGGAAGTTCCCTTGCTCCCTCATCTGCTACCCAGTTGAACCCCGAGTTTAGGGTGCCTGGCACAGTCACTGGACTTAGACAGGAACCCGAGAGCCTCAGGCCCTGGCCAGGGCTCCTTAACACTCACTACCTTCGGCTGGCAGATGCTCGCGTTGATTTGCGTGTTGTAGCTTGGGGACACATATCACCCTGTCAGGGGGTCTCCCTAGGTTCTACATGGAGTTGTGAGGTCAGAGTGGCGAAGGGGATGAGGGCGACCTTGTGCTGTTGTCCTCCCAGCTTCCCCTCAGTCCTGGACACATCAACTCAGCTACTGGCAGCGCCTGGCCACTCCCAGGCCCGGCCACCCGGCCACCTCTAGGAATCCGAGGCATCACTCGGGTGGGAGACAGTTACCATTGTCTCAAGATTGCAGCTGGATTTAGGGTCCTTAATAAGAACTTTACATTCAGGGAAGAGCCAACAACTGGTAGGTATGGGAGGTAGCCTGTCCGTGATAGGCTGTCGTCCCTCTGAGGGGAGACCAGCTCTCTCAGGACAGGCAGAGAGGGGCGATCTCAGGGGGCTAGCGCCCCATGTGCCCCTAAATCCCACCTCCCAGGCGCTGCCTGCTGAGTCTTTGCAGCTTAAAACTGCTGAGTGTTGAGGTTACTTTCATTGCTATTCTAGACAACAGCCCTATTGATATTCAAGGAACTGCTCTGTTCATGCTCTATTCCGAATCTTCCTTTGGGAAGGGAAGGCCTGGTCTCAGGTCTGTGTCCCTGCCTTGCCCAAACCCTGGCTGGCTTTGGGCCTCAGGGCCTCTGGTCTCTGAAAGCACAGCTTCCTCTCCCACCCACTTGCTTGCTGCCACGCCCCCTCACCCTCACCCTCCAGGAGGTGGGAGCCTTGGGGCTTCCGGAGGAACCCCTGGTCTGCCCTCTTATCCTGAGGGGGCATGGCTGCCCCTTCCCAGGACCTGGCGAGGAGAGGGGGGTGTCCCTGGAACAGCTCGGTAACAAGGTTTCAAACAGCCAATGCCTTTGTTGTCTTTCCCAGTGATTATTATTCGAGCAACAGGCAGAGGCGAAGGAAGCTTGAATGTTGGAAGCTTGGCAGCAGGGAGGGGGTGGGGCTCCAGAAGGGAGAGCTGGCAGCGGACTGGGGGAGCCCGCCCGGGACGTCAGAGGATGGGGTCCTTATCAAGGCCCTCCCTCTCTGACCAGTCAACCCTCCACCACCCCCACCCGCTCCCAGCAACCTTCCCCAGCCCGGCTTTCTCCTCTGCCCACCGCCCCCTCCTCTCCCAGGACCTTGGATAATGTCCACCGGAGAAACTTGAAAATAGAACGCTGGTTTGTTTTGCGTCCTTGGCACCAAGCCTCCAGCATCAACTCCCTGCCCCAGAGGAAGGGGCTGCCTCGGGCCGGCCCGCTTCCCTCCCCACCTTGGCCAGGCTGATAAGAGGCAGGCATTTCTTCCCCGCCTGGCATCACCGCCCCCTGCTCCATTGGTACCCCGCGTTCACCCTCCCCCTGAGAGCAAGGGTCACAGTCCAAAGGGGGGGGCACCGCCTCCACCCCCAGTGACCCCTCTGCCTCAGGGGTTGCTGCGGGTACATGACCCCAGGGTGGAGCGGGATCACTGACTGCTTTACCCTGCCACGGCCTGGAGCAGCCCAGGTCCTGGAAGGGTCACCTTCTGCCAGGACCTGCCTTCTGTGGGAATGAGAGACCGGCTGAATAGTGACAGTGTCCATCCGGTGGCCCCCTGGAGGTCCCCACACTGACTCTCTGCTCCTGCTGATTTCTGCTCTAGGTTAATCGCCTTAGAAATGGCAAAGATTCACACCATCCATGCCAACGGCAGCCTGCCCAAGCCCACCCTCTGGCACAAGATGCACAATTACTTCACCCTCGTGAAGAGCGAGGTCAACCCCAGGTACGAAGACTGGGAGGGTCCAAAACTGGACTTAATAGGACCACCCCACACCCAAATACCCCCCCAACCCCGTTCTTTTGGCTCAGCCCCCTTGTCCCCACAAGGTTCAGGGGCTTAGTCCTGATTGTTTGGCCTCTGTCTCTCAGCAGGCATGGGCGAATTGACTAAATCTCAGGAATTAGGTCCCATTTTATGCCTATGTGCTGGTTTCTCCTTGGGTCTCTGATGACAGGGACTGAGGTTGGGCCCATTTTACTTAAATGACACTGAAGCTGACACTACACTTTGCCAGCGTCACAGAGCAAGGCCGAGGCGGACATCTGTTCCCAGCCCAGGGCCATTTCTACCTGAGAGGCTGGCTGAACCCTGAGGTTCAGGGTGGGGGCCTCCCTGGAGCCCAGGGTGGGGCTGAGTTCAGAGTCTGGGCTCAGCTCATCTACTGACAAGCCCTTGAGATGCTAGGACTGCTTCTACTTGCCTGGGCTCCTCTCCTCCACACTTGCCTCTGGGGACCCCGCTCCCCACCTTCCCCAGGCTAACGGCTTGCTGTCTCCTCTCTGCTCTTTCCACCCATCCTGACAGTACCTCTCTCCAGGTAAGACTAGTTCCCTGAACCTCCCTTTAAACTCTCACTAGCAACCTGAGGGGCCTTGTCTTCAGATACTTGACTCCCTTGTGTGCTGAGGAGAGAATGGAGGTATGAAGAAAGTGTTGTTACTGCTTCTGTCCCCCAACCCCCCAAAAGACAACAGTGAGTCTCCCATCATTCCCTGCTGGAACTGGACATTACCCTGTTCCAAATGTCCAGTGGGAGTGACGCACAGAGAGGTTTGGGGGAAGCTGTCCCTCCTCTTTTAAGGTGACAAGACAATCATTAACTGTCCCCCCTACGGGTGTCTGTCACACACGCATGGCTTTATCTGGACCCTCCCACTTAATGATTATCAAGCTTTGCTCTGGGACTGTTTGTCCAGGATGGCCCGTGTTCGAACCTTCTATGTCACATGTTATCGCTGGGACAAGAACTGCCCTCACCCTGAGGACCACGGTGATACGCTGACAGTCCAATGGCAACTAGAGTCAGGAAAGCGGGATGCTGTGTTGTCTGAGCCCAGGGGCCCCTCTGACTGTCAAGTCCTCTGCCTTCATATGACGGGGGAGACACTGAAAGCGGATGGGATTTGCCCAAGCTCATTGCCAGCCCTCGCAGTAGAGGCCAACTGGGATGCTCAGGCTTGAGCCCTGTGATTCTAGTTGCCATTGGACTGTCACCGTATCACCTTGGCCATCTGGGAATGGTCCCTGGGGGTGCACTGACCAACTCTTTGCTCTTGTTATACTTTTTTTTTTTTTAAAGATTTATTTATGGCCCTCCCTGGTGGCGCAGCGGGTTAAAGCACAGCACTAAGAAGCTTAAGCCGCTTCCGCATGAGTTCGATCCCCGCCTGCCCCGGAGGAGATCCACATGGCGTGGCAGACCTCTCCTGACCCGCCCGCTGCTCCCCTCAGCAGTGTACTTCGTCGATCTGCCTGTTCTGTTCCCCGCTCTGTCTCTGGTAAAGCCTCTCGCCGCCCCTGAGCCTCTGGCCTGTACCCCAGTTCTGTATGAATAAGTAAATAAATCTTTTAAAAATATATATTTGTGCATACAGAGCTGGGGTACAGGCCAGAGGTGCAGGGGAGGTGAGAGGCTTCACCAGAGACAGAGTCAGGAGCAGAACAGGCAGATTGACTAAGTACACTGCTGAGAAGAGCAGCGCGCAGGTCAGAAGAGGTTTGCTGCACCATGTGGGTCACCTCCGGGGCGGGGATCAAACTTGCACTGAGGCTAGCTTGCAGCACTGAGTTGCTCCACCAGGGAGGGACTTGTTACACTTTTGACCTTGGCAATAGAGTTGCTTAACTTTGCGGAGTCTCTTTAAGGGGGTGGAGACCAGCCCCAAACCACCTCACCTGCCCCAAAGCAGGGCAGGGATGAGCAATCACTTGGATGAGATGTGACCTGTGAGCTCCAGTGTTGCCTAATAACCCTGATTTAGCCAATTATTCATTTCACAAACATTGAGTGATTGGAATTTAAACCAATGAAAAATGTGCAGGTAGCATTCACCCTGCCCTGGACACCTTTTGGGGTCGGCCGTCTGCTCCCAGGGGGCAGGTGGGTGTGGCATTTACTCTGCCAGGGGTGGGGAGCTGGGGCAGGTCTTCAGGAGGCGCTGGGATGATCTAGGAGAGGGGGCTGCAGGTGTACGTTGGAAGTTTGAAGGCTTAAACCCCGGCTTATGGGGCCAGGAGCTAGGGTAGCTGGCCAGGTCGGTGGTCTTCAGAGCAAAGCTTTCCAGACAGACTGTGGTAGAGGGCCAAGGGTGCTTGGTGCTGGGTGTGAGGTGGTGACGTTCATCTGGAGAGGTGTGAACCTTACTCCTCTACCATAGACTGTTGGACACGAATGTTCACACAATCAAAACATGATTCGATTATGAAGAAAAGGAAGAAGGCTTTCCAGCATATGGAGCTTCAGCGTGGCTGAGCATTGCAGAAAGGGGTAGGGAGTCGAGATGGGAGGCCAGCTGGGTACTCTCGTTGCTGAGTGGGAAGACTAGAAGAGGGTTCCCAGAATGTCAGCATGAGACTCCCTGGGGTGCCTCTAAGTGCAGGTGAAGGGCCAGGAGTCTAGGGTCACGCCAGAGGGGTCTGTGTTTAAGCAAGTTCTCCAGGTGACTAAGCTGGGGGACCCAGGAACCACATTTTGAGGAGCATTGCCCTAGAGTAGCTGGGGGGGGGTAGGGTTGAGTGGAATCAGGGTGATGAGTCATAGACCTTGGGGAAATAGATTTGGTGGCCTTGGCTGTTTGGGTGGGCGTGGAGGTGTCTGGGAGGAAGTGGGCTTGGTAACTGCTTTGTGGGCATCAGGAGACTGGAACAGGTTGACTGCTGGGAGGTGAAAGGGATGAGCTGGAAAGCCCAAGAGAGGACACAGGACTTTACACCCCACCCCCAAACCCTGAGAGCCCAGGGAACAGTTGCCAGGCGGCAATGTTTATCAGGAAGAACCCCCAGGCTTCTTGGAGGCCGCTCCCACTCACTTTATCCTGTCCTGCTGCCTTGGGGAGACAGAGGAGGGGCAGGATCAGTTCAGCCTGGGGGATGGGAGTTGGTGATGCTCTGGTTAGCCTTCTGCCAGCCCCACAGCCTTGAACTCCACTACCAGAGTCCAGCCGTGTGGGCCGAAGGGCCGAAGGTGGCGGAGCCGACCGTGTCTTGAGTGCGCCAGGGAGGGGAGCGGGCCGCCTCGAGGGAGCTGCCGGGAGATAGAGGCCTGGACTGTTCCCACAGCCTTGGGGTGGAGGTCAGACAGAGGTCAGGGACCAGGCTGCAAGCATCTTGAATGTCATCCACGTGTTTTTCAGACTGGGACCAGGGCACATCAAAGGAAGCTCCTAATTCTTATCTGTGGAGAGTCTGAGTCCAAGAAAAGAAAAAAAAAGAAACTCTGAAAGGAAACAGTAGTCTCTGAAGGAAAGCCAAGATGAGAAGCCTCTTGTGCAGCCCCATCATGGAGAAAAACTCCACGGGGGGTGGGGGGTTGGGATAGCCTGCTGGGCCTGGGGTGGCCATGTAGGGCCTGAGAGCACTGAGGTCTTGAAGTCAGGAGGCTCCCCTTGATCTCAGGCCCTGGACAGGCAGGGGAGGGCTGCTTTCCCTAGGAAAGAAGGGGTGCCCCAGCTGCGACGAGGCACCTGGAGCTGCCAGCCTCCCCTTCCTCGTGCCTCAGTTTCCCCATGGGGTAGATGAGGTAAACTGAGCTCCTCTCTGGCTTTGACCTCAAAGCCTGGGAGGTGCCTACCGCTCCCCCTTTTCCCAGGAGAGCGGGGGCTGCCTGAGTGCTGAGTACTCTTCCTGGTGTTCAGGCCTTGGGCTGGGTGAAGGGGCGACAGGCCACCTGGGGGAAGATCTCAGAGGACATAGCTCACATTCTCCCTCTAGTGTAAACTCCCCCTGTCTTGGACAGGGAAGCAAACAGGAGGAGACACAATGGAAATAAAAGCCCGGTCGCCTCCCCTTTCCCCATTGGTGGTGCTAGGGTTTTGTGAGCTGCTATTTGGCTTTTCGGTGTACACAGACCTGTGTGCCTCCTGGGGACCAAAGTTCAGAGAATCTTACACAGTGCACTTCCAGCAACTTCCCTGTGGCCTCTGATAACATCGCAGGTTGGTTGATTCATTCACTCATTCATTCTTCAACACAAATTTCTCTCAGCAGAAATGCCTGGGCATGCCATGGGGGGTGGGACAGGAGGAGGGAGTCCTCTGTGAGTCTCTGTCCTGTGCCCTCCAGTTGCCCAAGCATGGCCTGGCAGGGTCTGGGGCAGAGAAACACGGTTCGGGTTGGAAGGGGTGAGTTAGAGGGAAGCCAGAGAGCAAGTGCTTTGTAGGGTCGAGCCCAGGAAGCAGTTCGCTGGCTCCCTAGTTTGCTGGGGGCCTAGTGGTCTGTGTGTGCCAAGAGAAGTTAGACTTCTGGGCCTTTCTATCTGTGACACCGCTGCTGGAGGGGGAGGGGCCCACAATACCACTGACCTGCGCCCTGCCCAAGCCGCTCCGTCGGGCACTGCCCAGGCCCTCACCAGGGCACTTGCAGGGAGGCAGGGAGTCTCGGCCATGTCCTCTCATAGGGGAGGAGTCGTGAGTGTGAACAGGCACCCTCCCCTCCCCGGCTCCCTGTGCCCCCTCCATCTTCTGTCCTTTTCCCAGAGCAGCAGGAGCGCGCTCGCCAGGGCCTTTTGTTTTGTGAGATGCTTTTCTACTGGTGTTTTTTAAAAAATTTATTTATTTATGCATACAGAACTGGGGTACAGGCCAGAGGTGCAGGGGCAGTGAGAGGATTCAGCAGACACAGAGTGGGGAGCAGAACAGGCTGACTGATGAAGTCCACTGCTGAGGGGAGCAGCGGGTGTGTGGGTCAGGAGAGGTCTGCCGCACCCTGTGGGTCACCTCCGGGGCCGGGGATCGAGCTCGCCCTGAAGCGGCTGTGGCTCGCCTGCAGTGCTGTGTCCTGGCCCACTGTGCCACCAGGGAGGGCCTCTTTTAGTGTTTTATTCTTCCTCCTAGAGGAACCGCAGGAAGGAGGAGGACAGGCTCCCAGTATACTTTGCAGATGCTACCGACGTGGGGGTCTGACTGTGGCCTTTCCCCAAGGCCCCTCTGCGGCTGCGGCTGCAGCTCAGGACTCTGCAGGCCCCACACCTGCCAGTGGGCTGTCAGCAACCCCACCGGCCCCTCTCTCCCTCCCTGCGTGCAGCCTTTCTACAGACGTCCCTAAGGTCGAGGTGCTGGAACAGGAGCTGGCCTGGCTGAAGGAGCACCTGTCCCAGTTGGACTCCCCTGTGGTGTTCTGTCACAACGACCTGCTCTGTAAGAACATCATCTACGACAGCACCAAAGGTATGGCCCAGCCGGCAGCTATAGCCAGGCCAGCCGAACAGCGGCCCCGGGCTTCTGCTCTTGGTGGGCGCCTGGACCAGCACTTGGTTTAGGTCTGCAGTGAATGTGTTGGAGAGAACGGGAGAGCGGTGGCAAGAAATTCCACTCTGAAAAAAGTCTCTGCTAACAACAAGCTCAAAACCGAGGTCTATGAAGGTCCCAGCCTTAGGGCCCCCAGGCCAGGGCCCCCCATGATGTCCCACGCTCCTGGGGACGTGTGGCTGCCCCAGACCTTCTCAGAGAGCAGCTCCTGGTGCTCCCAAGGAGAGCTGGTCTCCCAGAGAGCGCTTGGCGGTCTTTCTGACCTTCAGTCTCGCTGAGGCCTTGGATGGCCAGAGGCCCTCTGTGGGAGGGAGCTGGAGCTGGGGCCAGTGCAGATGGGCAAATGGACGCTTGGAGGTTGGCGAGCGGCAGGTGCCTTCCTGAGGTCCGCGGCAGCTTGGCCAGGCCCATGTCCGGCTCTCCCGCGCTCACCCTCACTGCCTCTCCCTGCCTCGTAGGACACGTACGGTTCATTGACTACGAGTACGCCGGCTACAACTACCAGGCTTTCGACATTGGCAACCACTTCAACGAGTTTGCAGGTGAGAGAGGCCTGGTCAGACACCTTTCTTCTGATGAAGGACAGGCACTGAGGGGGATGAGCAGGGCTGTACTTGCGGGGTGCGCTGTACTTCGGGAGCCCCTCTCCTCTGAAATAGCATAGTCCAGTGGTGAGGGGGGCACATTTTGTCTTGAGATTCTCTGTCTCGTGGAGGAGGAGGGGCCCCTGTACCCAGAGCAGATGCCTGATGTGGCAGTTTGAAACAAGTTAGGAAAACACACAGTCTGAGGGTCCCAGAGTTACGGCTTGGCATAGACTTGAGAAAGGTGCCTTCCCCTGGGCCAGCACAGCACAGGACAGCCTCAGCGCCCTCACGGCCCCTGTCCCAGCTCCTTGTTACAATCACAACCTGTGTGATTGCCAGTAAGGGCCCTGCCTGCAGACCCAGGCAGAACAAACTGCTGGTAGCGATGTTCCCAGGGACCCAGTGAGAATAACTTAGGCAGAACTATTTCCAGGTGGGTGCTGAGCAGCTTGACCACCCCAAGTTCACATCCTGGTTCTGTTGCTTACAAGCCACACACGAGCAGGTTAATTACCTTCCCTGTGGCTCCATGAAATGAAGATGATAATAGTAGCTACTTCTGTAGTGACAACTCAGAGCCCGCTGGCTGGCACACACACACACAAGAATGGCTCTTCGTAGGCATCATGTTGGCGTTAGCTGCTGATATGATTGATACACAGCAGGGAAGCTTTTGCAGTGGGGACAGGGAACCAGAATGGCACAGGTTGAGGAGGGCGTAGGCGAGTGATTGTTCTAGAAATGCATGAAACATACAATAGAGTTATTTGTGTAAAGGAAGCAGGGCAGGTTTTTCCAGCCTGAGGGTTTAATTGTTAAACAGTAAGTAGGACTATACAGACAGCTTGGATGGAGGTGGACACTAGGGCCGGGGGAACAGCTGCGGACTGGCCAGGAGGGCTCAGCTTGGCCGCCCTTGCAGCTTAGGAAAAGCAAGTCACTCCCTGGCCCACTCCAGCCCAACCGCGACCCTTCTGGAACCCAGGTGATCAGGTGTGTCAAGCACAGCATACCTGAGGGGATGATTCCCTGGGAGCAGCCGTTAGCTGCATCGGGGCAGAACAGCCAAGCTGTGGGGTGCAGTAGGGAGCACGGATTGCCACTGGCAGGCACTGGGCATGCCAGGCCCACTAGCCCTCCCAGAGAACTATCTGAAGGTCTTCATCTCACCCACTGGCACTACAGAGCAGGGTCAGCTGGAATCTTCCCGGGGCATACTGCGTCCTGCCCCCAAGTTGACCATGAAGGGAAGGAACCTGCCATGGGAGAGGAGGGCAGGCAGGACCAATGATGGGGCACTTGGGAGGGGGCCTCCAGGGGTCTCAGGCAAGGAGACCAGTACTGGGCGCTCCAGCCCTGAGCCAGCCTCCACTGGCGAGGATCAGTCAGGGCACCCAGATTCTACATCTCCGTCAGGAGATTCTTCTCCAGTGGTTCTCCTGGGGACAGAGGGGATTGAGTGTGTTTCTCTCGGGATGTAAGGAAGCTTGGGGAGAGCAGAAGGAAAGAAGACACAGGGGCGGTGGCCCACCCTGGTCCTGTCTTAAGCGGGGAAGCTGGTCCTTACCAGCTGGGAAGCCAACCAAGGTCCCTGCCACTGTGCCCAGGACGTGGCTGGGGTTGGCAGCTTGAGGACCAAGGAGGGGCAGCTAGAAGGAAGGGAGGGGCTTGTTTGGGGCTCCCGAGCCTGGCAGGACATTGCACAGCAGCTGGAGTACCTGGCAAACTCTCAGGTGAGGCCTTCTCGTAGTAGTCAGCTCAAGGAAGCCCCGTCTGGGAACACCTCAAGTCCTGGTCCTGGTTTTATAAATGGAGGTGTAGGCCAGTGAGGAGGAAGAGCTTGTTTGGGTGAGACAGGGGTGGTTAAGTCAGACCTAAGGCCATTGAAGCCAGATTCAGTGTTCTGACAAGCACCACAGATTCATATCAGCCTCAAGATGATGGGGTATGGTGGTGCTGTCTTCTGGCGTCCCGTGACTCCCAGGGCTGTGCCTCTGCCTTCAGGCAGTCTGCCCCTCTATGCTCCAGCCCCTGAAAGCAGAGCCCCTGGCTGGGGTGGGGGTTTGCCTCGCCACACGTTAGGTGAGTTTGGCGGACAAATAGGCCGGCCTCCTTGAGCACAGCCCCACAGGGCAAGCTGACGGAGGTTTTGAGGGGTGCAGAAACACCCACGACACTTGACCCAGTGAGCTGAAGGAGACCCCAGGTAGGTCCCCCAGCAATGTGTGCGTGGCCCCGCCCAGGTGTGAACGAGGTGGACTACTCCCGGTACCCGGCGCGTGACACCCAGATGCAGTGGCTGCAGTACTACCTGCAGGCCCAGAAGGGGATGGCGGTGACCCCCAGGGAGGTGGAGAGGCTCTACGTGCAAGTCAACAAGTTTGCCCTGGTGAGTGCTTGTGACTGGGGTCCGGGGAGCCCCAGGAGGGTCTCATGGCCCATCCCCCTCCTGCCTGCTCAGCCTTGCAATAGAGGGAAAGCAGAGCCCTTTCCTCCCAGGTCAAGTGTGAGGTCATGGGGACCCCAGCTTGTGCTCCTGAGCCCCACCCTAGAGGTGAGGTCTCCCCGCAGGGTCAGGTGTGAGGTCATGGGGACCCCAGCTTGTGCTCCTGAGCCCCACCCTAGAGGTGAGGTCTCCCCGCAGGGTCAGGTCTGAGGTCATGGGGACCCCAGCTTGTGCTCCTGAGCCCCACCCTAGAGGTGAGGTCTCCCCCCAGGGTCAGGTCTGAGGTGATAGGGGCCCCATCTTGTGCTCCTGAGCCCCACCCTAGAGGTGAGGTCTGGGGAGAGTCATCTGGCATGCCTTAATATCCAGGTGTCCTTTCCCTGCTCTCCAGCCCCCGTCAAGTCTGGGTTCTCTTCCTACTGAACTACTGCCAAGTAAGCTCCCAGCTCCCCATTTTGGCAGTTCTCTCACTTGGACAAAGAGTTGTCTCTAGCATCTAGCCTCAGCCCGTCATGCTGCAGTTAAACAAGCCCCATGGTGATTTGTCAGCCCGTGGAGATCACGTATGGCAGTTTAACCCCCTGGCTAGCCCCCTGGAATTAGCCTACCTCCGCTGACTCAGGCCTCTGGGATCCTCGCCCACCAGCCAAGTCACTTCCTACTCAGATCACTGGGTGGCCGCTTCTCAGTCTGTGTGACACTTAACCCGAGGCAGCGGCTCATGCCAGGTCGATGCTGGTGTGCGCCAGGGTGTGCCAACTGGTTGTCAGCCACGCATCAGCAACAAGACAAAGAGAGCTAAATAAAATCTGTACTTACCTGAGTCTGTTTTCTTCACTGGCAAGAAACTGGTGCTTTATCACGTTCTTCCTCTTGCTCAAGTTTTTAGTGTCCGTTCATACTTGCTAGTCCTGAAAAGGGGGAGAGTAGAAGGAGGTACCGTAGTCAACCCCATTGTGCGCAGGATATTGGGGTCCCCTGGCTGGGGTGGTGTCTCCACATTGTTTAGGGGTAGCAGTAGCAACCTGAACACCTGGTTTCCCGAGCCTGGGGTGACCTGGGCCCTGTGGGGAAAACAGCTGAACACTTGGCCAGTAACCAGGCCTGGGCCTTGCTCCCACATCTAGACACGTTTCCCTCCCCAAGTCACCTCTGATAGAAAGGGAGCGGTGGGGGTCAGTCTGGTGGGTCTGACAGCAAACTCAACCCTGAGACCATTTGGCCAGGGTGCTGCTGAGCGGTTCAACCCTGATCTCTGATTTGGGGGCCCATATTATGTCCTAGACAGCAGGGCTTGGAAGATTCCTCTGTGTAGGGAGGCACCAGGAATGAAGTTCAGGTCCCGCTTGATCTGGGGAACAAGCTGAAAGTTCTAGAAGCACCATCCTCCTGGCCCCAGGGCAGGAAGAACCTACTTTACTTGCTTTTTCTGTCGGGAGTGGAGCCCCCTTTCCGTGCACTGACAGCCTCCACCTGTGTTGGGGAGAACCCCCAGTGTCACCAGTGTCCCAGCTCCAAATTTTCCAGAGTGACTGTGTCCTTCCAGCCACGTGGGGCCTATGACTGGCGGTCTGGGGGCATCCGTCACACTCACTCTCTGGTCTGTTCCAGGCATCTCACTTCTTCTGGGCTCTCTGGGCCCTCATCCAGAGCCAGTTCTCCACCATCGACTTTGACTTCCTCAGGTGAGTGAGGGGACAGGCTGGGGCTGGGCCTGGGCCTGGGGTGGCAGAGAGCCCAGAGCATGGGAGCAAAGGGCAGCCCAACTAGAACATCCAGAGTCCGTTCCTCCGCCCGCTGACACTTCCCAGCCAGCTGACCGTGTCCAGTGTGGTGACTGCTCCAGCGGCACCCAGGGAAGCGCCAACCAGTGGGGACGTTCTCCTCAGCCCTTCCCTCCCACCTACCCCCTGGGGACTCACCCTGCCACCTGCCCCACTGCCACGTGCCCTGCGTGGCGCCCCACCAGCCTGTGGGAGGCAAAAGAGTCACGGGTCCCACCTCATCTTGGAGCAGAGGGCCAGCACTCCGGAGGGTAGGGGTGCCTCCCTGTGTCCACTGTGAGTCATGTGACTGAGGCTCAGGCCTAACCCACCTCAGTGGCCCCCAGGGCGTGGTGAGGCTTGGCATGCCCTGGCTGGAGCCGGACCCCAGGTGGCCCCTCAGGAGACAGCCCCCAGTGCCCTCAGCCTCCAGCGTGGGCCCCCCACCCCCCTGGCCAGCTCTGATGGTGGAGGGGTTGGAAACAGGGTCCCCGAATGCACACCCCGGCACCCAGCATCACTCACACCAGGTAAGGGGGGCAGGGCCGGCCACAGGTGGACGCCCCATGGCCTGACATAGCACAGGGCGTTACTCAGCCTAAGAAAGGAAAATCCTGCCAGGTGCTATGCCGGATGAACCTTGAGGACATGATGCTGAGTGAAATAAGTCAGACTTAGAAATAAGTACTGTGTGATTCCATTTCAGTGACTCAAATAGTTAGATTCATGGAGAGAGGACCGTGGCTGCCAGGGGCTGGAGTCAAGGGGGTGAGGGGTGAGGGGGGAGAAGGGGGAAGGAGAGGAGAGGGCAGAGGTGAGAGGTAAAGGGAGGGGAGGGAGGAGGTGTGAGAGGGGTCAGGGAAAGGGGAGAGCTGGGGGGAGGGAAGGGGAAGGAGGGAGCAGAGGGAACAGTTACTGATTGATGGGGACAGTTCCGGTTGGCAAAGTGACCAAGTCCCGGGGATGGTGCCCAAGATGAAGGCACAGCTCTTCTGAACTGTGAAACTCCCAACCAACATCCTTGGCACAGGACTGTGCTGTCCATAATGAAAAATCGTAGTCAGAATTTAAAAATGAGCCTGAGCCTGGGCTGGAACTGACCAGCTCAGAGGAGGATGGGCTAAATGCGCTGGCGCCCATGTTGGGGGGGTCCCAGTGAGGACCCCGAACAGGCCGGGTGCGCTCCTCACACCCAGCTCCGTCTCTTGGCAGGTACGCAGTGATCCGATTCAACCAGTACTTCAAGGTGAAGCCTCAAGTGTGGGCCTTGGAGATGCCAAAGTGACCAGCTCCCGTCCTCCCCTCCCACCCCCTGGCTGAGCTGTTCTCCAGGCCCCCCTCTGCTGCGGGGGCCACCCCCTTGGAGGCGGGAGAGGGGCAGGCGGGCGCCCGGGAAGAAGGCCGTGCCTGTGCCACCAGCCCCATGGGTACTGCTGGAGATCACATTCCTGTTCGGACTCAGCTCTGGGGGTCCCCTTCACCTCACTAGACTTGGGGGGAAGTGCCTGTAGCCAGCCAGGACCCGGACCACAGTCAACCCTGGGAAGCCCAGCACTCCCTGCCCCAAGCCCTGCTGGCATCGGGGCTGCCTTAGTGTCTTTGACCTTCCTGGCTTAGGGAAGGGGGGAGCGGGGAGGGCTCCTTTCTACCTCCAGTGCCCTGAGCCCCCAGTCCTTCTCCCCCTGCATGCCCCTTGTGGGAGGTGCTGAGCCCAAACCAGCAGCATGCCAACTCTGCCTGCTGGATGTGCCCATCTCGGGGAGGGGTCTAGCTTCAGGATTGCCAGCTCCACCAGCAGCTGCCCCCCCCCCCGAGATCCTTCACACCAAGCCGGATCCTCAGACCACCCTCAGGCCAAGGATGCAGCCTGCCCCTCGGTGCCCCTTGGGCATGGTGCCCACGCTGTCCCACTGTGGCCTGCTGGGAGGGGAGGCGAGGGAGTGGTGACACCCTGGGCCCCCAGAGTCCTGCTCTGCTTGGGTCCCCACCTGCCCCCACTGCCCGGCCGCCACTTCCAAGGGCCCACATTGGGAGTGGCCAGGGGGAAGCTGGGCGGGCTGGCCCATGAAAGCCTGGGCAGAATGGGCTGAAGGTGCTGGCTGAGCTCTCAAGGCCTCCATCTCCTTTTGGATCCCTCACAGCCCTGTGGGGCTCATTGGTTCTGACCCACACATTGATTCATTTGTAAATTATCGTGGTTTTCTGCATTAAAAATGGCCATTTCTGGACCACTGTGTGTCTGTGTGCCGCCGGTGAGGATTCCACGTGAAGTGGGGGATGGAGGGCTTCTGGCCCGAATTGGGGGGATCTCCTCAGGCTATACTTTCTGCTATGCCCACCAGGCAGCCAGCTCCCAAGGCCTCAGCTCCCTGCTGGGGGTAACCTGCAGAGCTGGCTTCACAGCTGATTGCCCTTGGCCATCTTGCTGGAGCCCGCTGCTTGGAAACACTTGGCTGTGGGTCCAGGGTTCCAGGAAACTGCGTGACCACCAGTGCGGCCCTAACAGTGGCACTGGCATGTCCCTTGGTCAGCAGGGGGTGGGGGGTGGGGGAGTTGCCCCGAGGTAAGCAGCCCCAAAGCAGGCCAGGATTTCTGCAAGTAATCTATCACTTTCTCAGAAGGCCAGGGGAGGGGAGCAGACAGGCTGAGATGCATCCTCACAATTCCTTTTCCAGGGTGGGGCACAGGGCGGCTGCCACCTGGGGGCAGGGGCCAGAAGATGCCAGCGGTGTCAGGGACAGCAACAGCCCCACAGAGGCTGCCTGCCAGGTGGACGCTGGCGGTTCGGCTTTTGTCTGCAAAAGTACCAGGGTGCCATGGCAACCGCTGGAGCTGAGCTGGCACTGGCAGCTGGGGCTTCTTCAAGGTCACGGTGATCTGGTATGGCTGCCCGGATGGTTAGCAAAACTGAGTCCAGGCTGGGTGCTGGTGGGGGAAGGGTGTGTCTGGGCATAGCGAAGGTAGCCAGGGTCGGCAGGTAGGACCCCAAGGGTCATCAATGGGTCAAGTGGTCAAGGGTCTGGCTTCTCAGTGGCAAATGTTGGGGTGGTGAGCCTGGCAGCCAGTGTTAGGATGGCGAGCAGAGAAAGGTAGGCCAGGGTCCCTTACCACCTGTGCCCCTAAGGCCCCAAGCCCCACCTGTGCAGGAGCTAACTTACAGGTGCTGAGAAAGCATCCTCATTTTTGCTTCTTGGGGGTAGTGGGCGGGCACGCCCCTTCCCCCACCCCCCCCACCCCCGCTAAGTACCTCACTGACTCATGGCCACCTCAGACTAACCCAAACCTGCTCTCTTGGTTCCCCCAGGCTTGAGCTAGCCTAGGCTCCACTCACCCCGCCTCTTCCAGACCCTCTAAAGTGCCCCTGCCAGGTGTTTCTTGGGAGGGTCGGACCCCACAGAGCGGGCATCGAACAAGTTCATGCTGTCCTTCTTGGTAATGCCCAGGACATTCCTTCCCCGACCTTGTCAACCACCTGATCCCATCCAGCCTGGGACTCCAGAGCACCAGACCCTGAGGACTGAGTCTCAGCAGCTGGAATGAGGTCAGGACAAAGGCCACCAGAGGGGTGGGCAGTGCCACCCGTAGCTCCCCACGGCTCCAGAACCCGGGAGCGGGGGCAAGGGTGAGCCTGGCAGGGGGTGTCCGGATCGGCGGGATTTGATTTGTAACAGTGGGGGTGAAGGGAGGCAGATGGCGTTTAAAATGGAATGAGCACCTCCCCTGTGTGGCCACTAGAGGGCAGGCCTCGCAGCAGCCAAGCGCCTTTCCCCAGCACCGTCCCTTCTGCTCCTCCAGGGGGCGGTAAGCAGAGGAGGCCGGGGTGTGCCGACCTGCAGCAGCCAAGATGCTTTTCTAGATCAGAAGATGGAGGCTCTTGGAAACCTTCACTCCCTGGAATCAACCACACCTACCTTCTTCCCCCAGTCCTTCCCTGGGAGGAATCCCTTTTCCAGCATTCAGGAGCCTCTGCTTGAATAACTCCTTTTGGGAACATCACTACCACTTTTGAGTATCTTTGTCAAAAAATCATTAAACTGAAAATACTAATCTTGGAGACATTCATAAGTAGTTGTGCCTGAGTTATAGAATATACGCTGCTCACCCGCCAGCTTTGACAGTGACCTTGTATTTTCTGTCTTCCTGTTTCCTGTTCTCTGGCCAAAACATCCCTGACCCTTTCAACCGTTCCTTGAGGATGTGTCCACGGGGCTCCCTCCAGTCCTCTTCTGGGCCCCTCCACTGTGACAATGGCCTATTCTATTGAGGGCCAGATGTGGCATGACACACCTGGGACCAGGCCTGTATGCTGTACACTGACCATTCACCTCCCTTGTTGCAAACACAAACCTTTATTAATCCTAGCCAGGTCCAACATTTTCACCAGGATTGCCAACTGGCTTTGCTGCCCCCAGTCCATATTAATGGAGTCACTTTTTACCCACAAGATTTGGTCTTTTAAATTGACTGTTGTATCTTGAGAGTTTCAGCTTGTATCCCAGTTCTTTTGGAGCTTAGGGACCATTATTTCTCCTCATGTTATAAGTATAAGGCAGAGTATAAGGCCACAAGCAAAGTCTGGATGGCACGAGACTATGCTTAATTGGATTAGTATCTTGGTGGGGGGGCTTATAAATGGATTTGGGGTATCTTACAAGCCCTCCCCCACACCGTACAGAGAGCAGCAAGTTGGATTCCTCCTCTCAGAGTATAACAACCTCGGTTAAGCTGGAACCTCCCTGTTGTCAGATGAGACCAAAGAAGCCCAAAGGGGGACCCTGGTGGTCACAGACCCTTACTACGTAGCTAGTTCTGGCGAGAACACAGGCATCCTGAGTGCTCCTACCATGGTCTCCTTCCTTAGGACCTGGGCAGGAGGTCTGGCTCACTCCTCAAGGCAGGCCTGACTCACTCAGAGTGCACCTGCCTAGGTCTGTCTACCCTGGGCCTGGTCTCCCTGGCCAGAAGCTTCCTTCCAGGCCTCACACCTGATGCTCCCTCAGCCGCCACCAGGGGGCAGTGGTGCCTGGGCTGGCGACTCCGTCTGCAATTCTGGGCTTGGGCCAGTCTCCCCCTCCCCTGTGCAAGGGCCAGACTCTGAAATGGTCTGTCTTTATTATGCCAACAGAAAACAAAAAAGTCCCCAGAGTGTAAACAGGAGAAATGTGCTGGTTAAGTTACTCATCATTATCTTATTATTAACAAAATAAAGCACTATCTATGTTTACAGTCATAAAAAAAGAAACAGCCTGGAGAGAAGTCGTAGGGCCTTGGGGAGGGAAGAAAGTGGGGGGGCCCAGGCATCGAGGCCCCACTCACCCGCCGCCCCACCCCCACCCCCGTGGGATTCCTTTCCACCCTGACCCAAGGACTGTTCAGGATCTTTGGAGTCAAGATGCCAATGGGATTTGATTTTCTTAGGGCAATTGACTGGTATATGTGATCGGGATAGCGGCAAATTCCCCCCCTTCCCCCACAGGTGGGGGTGTTGCAGGGGAGGAAGCCTGAGTCTTCACTAAGCCCTTCCAAGAAGGGGGAGCCCTCCCACCCCCCCTTGTTGTGTGGTGGGAGGAATGCAGACCAGCTGCCCCAACACCCCACTCTCCAGGGCACCTGGCATCAGCAGGCAAGGAGAGGGTGCCCTCCTCCTGTTCTCACTCCTGGCACTCAGGTTGGGGCCAGGCCTGGGTCACCAGGACAGAGAGAGCCCCTCGGAGGCCGAGTGCATTCCCATGCTGCTCCAAGCTAAAAATGGCTCTGTGGGAACCGACTGGCAGAGTCGGGGAGAGGGTGGTAGGGAGGGCTGGCGGGCCCAGGGGTGGACACGGGGACTACAGAGACCCAGAGTGAGCAGCGGGTATTTAAGGGTTAGCAGGAGCCAAGAAAAGGGGGAGACAGAAAGGGCCCTGCAGAAACAAGGCCACAGAGAAATGCACACAGGACACACGGAACTTGAGACACCCAGACTGACAAAGAGGTAGCAATTTGGGGACACAGAGAAGCACAGAAAGGCCCCCAGAGAAGCAAGGGTGGCAGCGAGGGACACGCCCACAGGAACTCAGCAACGGTGTCTGGCACACAGTGGGCACTCAATAAATATCTTGTGCAATGAATGAACAGATGAATATGCACATGAGTGCATGTGATCACACACACGCACACACGCAGCAGCCAGAGGCACAACGGGCTTGGCAGAAGACAGAGAGAGGACAGCGGGACCTCTTTGCACAAAGCACAAAGTGATCTTGGTGATAGAGGACTGGGGCGGGGTGGGGGTGGGGGCAGAGAGTGTTGGCCCCATGGTGGCTGGTGCCAGGACTAAGCATGTGACCCCAGGGGACAGGCCTAGAGCTGCTAGGCCCCCAGGGTGGGCACACCTGCAAGGGAGAAGTGTCAGACAGGGCCCCCAGCCATGACTCCCGAGGGCCAAGGAGCTCGGCCAGCCGTCCCTGCCACGCAGGCCCTGCCCCCCCAGCCCCAACGCCTCAAGTGCGCCTCCGTGCGGCGGGGAAGGGCACCCTCCCCTCCAATGTATCTACAGTGCACAGCCGTGCCCATCTCTGGAGCACGCCAAGTCCAAGTACCAACGGAGTCCGGGTGGGCGGCCGTGCCCGCCAGCGTGGCCGGGGTCAGTCTGTGAGCACCACCAGCTCCCCGTCGCTCTTCTCCTCGCCCTCTGAGTCCTCGTCCTCACTGTACCGGTACATCTCGCCGTCCGCCACCGAGTGCCGGTCCTCTGTGCCCTCGCCCTCCTCCCGGAGGCTGCAGGTGTTGACAATGACAGGCATGTTGGGGTCCAGGCTTCGGGGCACGTAGTGCCCCACGAGGGGCTGTGCCAGGGGCATGCCCGCCACCCGCGGGCACAGGACGTCAGAGGTGTTCATCTGCACCTGGCCAGCCTGCGGGCTGTGGGACAGGAAGAGGCATGGTTAGGGATGCAGTCTCACTGCACCCCCAGCCCGGCCCCGCCCTGGCCCCCTCAGAGCGGCCCCCCACCTGATGCCCTCTGGCTCTGAGACACACACACCCTGGCTGTCCCCCGTCTGACGGACCACACCCTGGCTGTCCGGGCAGCTTCCCCAGTGACACTCCCTGACGAGCATGTGTGCAGCCAGTTCTTAGAAGCTGTCAACTTTAAATGCTCCAGGGGGCTCTTGTCGAAAGGAAGCCACCAGGAAGCTGGGTGCCTGTGTGAGGGTGCCTCGGTTTTTAGTACCCCTGAACTTTTAGTGCATTGCCAAAAACAGGATTCACGGGCACATTTCTCTCCCAGGCACTCTCACCCTGAGCCACCAGGCACCCCAGCCAGTCACCTGCCGTCACACACATGCCCGCACGCACGCACGCCCGCACGCACGCACGCACGCACGCAGCCAGCTTCCCGGGGGCCTGCTCACGGGGCCACGTAGCTCTGGCGGGCATCCTGGCGCCGGGTCCTCATCAGGGCCTTGTACTCGCCCACCCGCAGCCGCTTGCCCTCCACGATGCAGGTGCGCTTGGGCCGCGGCTTGTACTTGTAGTCGGGGTACTTCTCCAAGTGCTGCCGGCTCAGCCTCGCCTGCTCCTCGTAGTAAGGCTGCTTCTCCTGGTTGGTCATGGACTTCCAGCGGGAGCCTGCGCCCAGGGCGGGCAGTCAGGACTGGGCTCTCTGCGGACCGCTGCCCAGCTCCGGCAGACCGCAGGCCCAGACGTGGGGGCCAGCGCTTAATGCAAGCTGGCCTGATACAAGCTGGGCTGACAAATGAGTGAAGTTGGACGTAGATGGCATCCCACTGCCAGCCAAAGGTGCAGCACCCACCACGCTCCGGGCCACCCAGCAACTCCCAGGCCTCTGGTGCGCTTGCTTTGTGTGAACATACGGGCGGCCGTCAGCAGGCGCTCTAAGGACCAAACACCCCGTTCTGGAGTGATGATGAGGTGCTGGGGGAGCCTCCTCTTCTAGCCCCACATCTGGCCTCCCATGGGGACACGTATTTCACAAAACCTTTCTACTGACACCCAGACAGGGGCAGGTGCTCCGTTTCCTGCCAGTGCAGGGTTGCGGCAAACAGTGCAAATGACCAGAGAGAGCAGGGCAGTGAAGATTCTTTCTCTCCCCACCTTGCGTTCTCTGGTGCAGACCCATAATGGTATAAGACCCCAGGACGCGCAGATCCCCAATGGGGTTCAGCACCCCAGGACCCAGCAGGTCCCTGATGGGGTTCAGCACCCAAGGACCCATCAGATCCCTGATAGGGTTCAGCACCCCAGGACCCAGCAGGGGTTCAGCACCCTAGGGCCCAGCAGATCCCTGATGGGGAACAAGGCCCCAGGGCCCAGCAGATCCCAGCAAGATTTGGCCATCATCCAGCAAGCCCTGGGCAGACCCAGCTGACCCAGGCCAGGTCCTGCAGGCGACGCCCCTGGGGCCCCTGGGGCTCCCGGATTCCCGGAGGCCCAGCTCTCTGGCTCTCACCGAGGATCTTGCTGATGCTGGAGTTGTGCATGTCAGGGAAGGCTTGGAGGATCTTTCTCCGCTCGTCCTTGGCCCACACCATAAAGGCGTTCATGGGCCTCTTGATGTGGCTGGTGTTCCGGGACTCCGGGAAGTGGCGGGAACCTGGGGGACAGGATGGACTCAGCTGGGGCAGCCAGGCTGGGGAAGGAGGACTCCCCAGGGCAGGCAGCAGCGACACCCCCTACTGGATTGCTGGGCGGGGGTGGGGCTCCCACGGTAGCCAGGGATCCAGAGACTGTCAAGGGGCAGACACAGAAGCAGAGTCCGGGCAGAGCTTGCTCACCCGGGCCCTGGGGGGAGGTACGGGGCCTCCTGCCCACCAGCCCCTGGCAGAGCCCAGAGCCCCACTCACCGTCCATGTCACAGCCCAGCATGGCCTCTTCCAGGGGGTGCACACAGTTCTCTTCCAGCCGCTCCTTGGTGGGGGAGGTGTCAAGGCTGATGAGGTCCTGGGGTCAACAGAGGCAGCCGGTACACATCTGACCCTCTGTGTGCCCCACTTCCTCCCCCACCTCCCTTTGGGGGCCTCAACCTGTCTCCCACCCCGGCCACCGCCTGTTCCCGGCACCCAGGTGCAGGGGCGTCGGGGCGCATACCTTTCGGAAAGGGGTGTTGGGAGAGCTTTCCAAGGCCCCGGTGTGGTTGTGCAGCAGCTGGCGAGCATCCTGGATGGCTTTGGTGACTGCGTCCCCTTCACCAAGGAAGCCTAAGTGGGGGGTTGGGAGCTGAGGGGCAGCCACCTGACAGCCTGTGGTTGCTCCCTCTTGCCTCTCAGGGCAGTTGCACTGCATATCCCCAAGGGGGCGCTCTTTGCATTGGCTGCTGTGCAGGAAGCAGCATGGCACCCCCAAAATTGTGCACTTCAGTGGCCTGAATCTCTGAGGCTGGTGCTGCCTGGTCTGATGTGGTGGTATAGAAGGAAGGGGTTCTCTCAAGCACTGGATTTTGAGAACTAAAAGGGGGTGAAGACAGCAAGCCTGTGCCCTTACTATGGGGAAAGGAACTGGAGGCAGGAAGCTTACCCAGAGGCAGGCTGGGAGGGCTGGACTGCAGGTCCCGCGTGGGGGCCCCGTGGCTGGGGGGGCGGGGTCCACAGTTGCTCATCTTCAGGCTGGGGGAGCTGGCGGTGTTGGGCAGCTCGGGGGCCTTGGGCTTGGCTGTTAGGTTCAGGGGCTGGGAGGGCTCCTGGGGGAGACCCAGAGGGTCAGAGGCCACCCAAGGAGACATGACGTCCCCAGAGGGATGAAGGGGACAGAGGGTGACAGAGACCAGCATATCCAGGGCAGGAGACAGGAAGGACAGAGGGCGCGGGTGCAGAAGGTAGGATCCCCGGGGACAGCAGCCGTCACATTCCGGAGCCAGCTGGGCCTGGAGGGCGGCCGTACCTGCAGGGGGTGGTGGCCAGCCATGGCTCCCGGCCTCTTCACCACTGGGGCAGGGGGGCTGTGTAGCAACTGCAGCGGATATTCCACTGTGGAAAGGGTGGCAAGGAGAAAGGCCCGAGATGAGCACAGACCAGCACACACCCTACCTGCCAAGGCCCCCGTGGCAGAGTGGACAGAAGCTCAGGGCAGGCCCACCTCGCTTCCCACCACCACCCTCCCAGACCCCCACACACCCAAGGATCTCCAGCCCACTGACATCGAGCTGCAACCCAATGGCAAAAGAACAGGTTGCCACCTATCCATTCTAGGGGTGCCTTATATATGTGGGGCACAAAAGCAGTAGCTGCTGGCTACCCCCCACCAGGGACCTCCCCTCTCAACAACACCTCATGTGGCAGAACTTGGGTCATTACCCCATAAAGATAGAGACCTGGAGAAGTTAGATGGGCGACAGTGGGAGCCTGGGGCGGCTGAACCCCCGTCCTCCAGATGCCACAGACCTTCCTTTCTCTCTACATGCCCCTTCTCTTCTCCTTAGCTGACCTCTGCCCGCAACCAGGCCCAGCATCAAGAAGCTGCCCAAGCTGGTGGCAGAGATCACTGACCAATGGCTGGGCAGTGTGTTGGAGAAGCGTGTTCCGGGTGTGTGTGTGTGTGTGTGTGCGTGTGTTTGTGTGTGTGTGTGTCTATGCCTGCTGTGGAAGCATGTTCCGGGTGTGTGTGTGTGTGTGTGTGTGTGTGTGTGTGTGTGTGTGGCTATGCCTGCTGGTGTGTGTGTGTGTGTGTGTGTGTGTGTGTGTGTGTGTGTGGCTATGCCTGCTGGAGAAGCGTGTTCCGGGTGTGTGTGTGTGTGTGTGTGTGTGTGTGTGTGTGTG